CTTCACTCCTGATTGTCCAGGATCATTTCCTCTGAGATCCAGCTCTATCAGGTGTGAAGGGTTTGATCTCAGAGCTGAAGCCAGAGCTTTATAACCTTCTTCAGTGATACTGCAGCCTGAAAGACTAGAATAGGAATGTAAATGTAACATTCAGATTAATTGATTATTCTAGAAATGTTCTGAACAATCTAAATCCATTAAAGGAAACATTTTGTGAGATGGAAGCAAACCAAAAAAAAAAAAGGACCTTTAGTATGTCAGGCATCAACTCACCTGAGTTTCTCTAGCTTACAGTTCTCTTTCAGCCCATCAGAGAGCAGCTTCACTCCTGAATCATGTAGATTATTGTTGCTCAGATAAAGATCCCTCAGACTGCTGAAGTCTGAACTGAGAACTGAAGTGAGAGCTGAACAGCTTTCCTCATTTAGATCACAGTTACTGAGCCTGAAAATAATAATAAAAAATATATATTATGGATATATAACTGTACCATTATTGTAGGAAGCAGAGGTGTTGAGAGTGAAGCAGCACCAGAGAAACCAGCAGATTACCAACGAAATTTGATAATTTATGTATCTTTTCCTCAGCCTTTAACAAACATGTCGGATGGGTTGGGGATCTCCCACAAAAGAAATGCTCAATATGTTAAATTACTAGCACTGACCAGCATAGTTAATTTTATATTTTGTCCACTCCTAGCGGTTTAATATAAGATTTAATAAATATATAATATATTTTGTGATTCCTGTTGTGTTGAGTGTAGCTGCTGGTGAAATGTACTCACTTGAGTATCTTCAGTTCACACACAAGATTCTTCAGTCCCTCACAGATCTCTTTGGCTCCTGAGTCCAGCAGACGGCTGTTGTTCAGGTTCATCTCTTTCAGGATGGTTTTGGAGGAGAGAACAGTAGCTAGAACTGAACAGCTTTTTTCTGTCAGCTCACAATTATTCAGCCTAAACACAAAAAAATAAATAAAAAATATTTAACACAAATTAGATCAATAGGTCTTTATACAGTCGGCCTCATTTACGAAACGAACGGACGGCAGAAAATTGGGCGTACGGTCGTTTCAATGCAAAACTTGGAATTTTTCAATATGGACGTGAGCGGTGACTACGATCAAATCTCACGCCTGGCTTTAAGGAAGCTACATATATTATATATGCATTTATATTATATATGCAGGGCTTTAAGAAAATAATCATAAAGTTCAGGTCATAGTTAGAAGAGAGGGGTTACTGTGTGAACACTGGTGACCATAAATCTGAATAGAAAGTTCCACAAGGCTTGATTCTTGCACTGTTCCTGTTTAACTTGTATATGGTTTCACTAGGCAAAATAATAAAAAAGAACCAAACTGATCATCACAGCTTTGCAGATGACATCCAGATCTACTTAAGTCTATCACCCAGTGACTACAGTCCCACTGACTCCCTGAGCCAGTGTATTGATCAAAGTAACAGTTGGATGCACCAGTTCTTCCTTTAAATAACCGAGAAAAACAGTGGTTATTGTATTTGGCAAAAAGGATGAAATTCTCAAGGTTAACCCAAAACTTTGGTAAATCCAGAATTTTAGGGATCACAAAACTAAACATCAAGTCAAGAATATAGGTGTGATTTAGGATTTCAGTAGTCACGTCAAGTAATAACTTAATCAGCAAACTATCATATCAAGATATAGCAAGACATACTGTAGATGCTTTTTAGATCCCACTACAACTTGATAAAATTGTTAAATGCTTTTATAACTAGCAAAATGGACTATAATCACCTCACTTACAATCACCTGCCTTCTCAAAAAGACCATTAGACAGCTGCAGCTCATACAGAGCACAATGCTTCCAGGATTATGACCAGAACCAGAACATCACACTCAGGTTCTAACATTGGCTTCCATGTACAGTTAGAATTGCTTTTATAGTATTATTGCCTGTTCATTTATTCAGAAGCCAATTACTAAGAGATAAAATAGGGTTGAGCCAGTTAGAAATACCTAATGGCAAAAACGGAGTTACAAAAATACAAGAGATGCATCAAAAAATAAAAATAAAAATAAATAAAAATAAAAAATAAAAATACAACAAATAAGATTATGCAAGCCATTTTACATTTACATACAGAAATACTAAGGTTCAAAACAAGGTTTGTTTATGTTCAACAACACAAGAAAAGTCAGTAGGCACATTCAAATCCAGACTATAAACACTGTTTAACAGTGTATTATCTGAGCACTGTGCTGGATTTACTGATTGCACTGTATTATTTTATTTCTGTATTTTTCTCTTATTTCATTTAAAATATGTTTTACATTTCTTATACACCTTTTATGAAAATTTTTAATCTTTTTTTAATATATATATATATCACTTTGAATTTGCATACATGTTCTACATGAATAACCTTGCCTATAAAATCATGTTGACTCACTTCATTTTCTCCAGTTTGCTATGAGAGTCCATCAAAAGAGCTGAGAGTTTCTCCCAATCCAGATCTCCTAATTTATCTTCACTCAGATCCAGTTCTTTCAGTAATAATGGACTTGTACCCAGTACTTTAGTAAGATAGTCACACGCTTCCTGTGCAGCAGGACTTTTCAAAAACCTACAGGAAGTAGAAGACAATTTTAGATGAGATAATCTTGTTGTAATTTTATACTGTTTGCTGCTCCCATCCTGCTTATGGGTGGAGTTCAGCAAACACAGATCATCCCCACTAATATGTTTCCATAGTTAATGTATTAATGTGAGGTTCCCTTTGGTTTTTAATTGTTCCTAGCTCAATTTAAATGTTACTCAGTTTTTTAAACTTCAGTCGTTTAAAGAGAACATGATATTAGCAAGTGTAAACATAACATTGTTGTTGTTGTTAAAACTTTATTCAGAGGCCCAAACTGAGAAAATATAAAATTGGGTGCACCTGCTGATTTATATGGCCTAATTTTTATATATATTAAATTTTAAAAGTTTATAATATAATGTCAGTGAGATCTTTCTAACAGTAAAGCAGACTACATTAATAAAACACATATACATATCAGTTGTCATTCTATATGTCCCAATAATGTGTCTTAGTGAAATGATATTTAAATTTTATTATCAAAGTGTTTTTTTTTTTTGTGGGATTCAGAGATAAACAAATAAGCGTCCCTCAAAAGCCTGATGTTTCATATTAGATACATAATTTTCATTAAAAAAACACCTGATGTGTAAATAATCAAGCAAACTTATGTTGCTTTAGCCCAGTAAGTGTTCATCTTGAAATATTACTAATATAAAAGTTATGTTTACCTTATGAAAATCAGAAGATCTCACAGCAAAAATATGTTTACCACAACTTGAATGGGGGCATTTAAAAAATAATACTAAAAGGGCTTTTACTTGCTAATGCAAAGAAATACATGTTTCTGTCAGTTATAATCTTCCATATGGCATATGATGTGATTAATTAAACACTGGATCAAATCAAGATACAGCTTGTCAACTGATTGTTGTTGCAGCATGATTCCAGAAAGGTTATTTGAAATATACAATTTTAATAAGTATTTGAAGGTTATAATCACCTGATGGTCTTCAATTTATAGCGTCCATCCTGTAGTAAATCATCAAGCTCCTTCACTCCTGATTGTCCAGGATCATTTCCTCTGAGATCCAGCTCTATCAGGTGTGAAGGGTTTGATCTCAGAGCTGAAGCCAGAGCTTTATATGCTTCTTCAGTGATACTGCAGTCTGAAAGTCTGTATATGAAAGAAGCTGTTAGGTATTGCATGTTCTGTGCTAAATAAACAAAACGAAGAACACTTAAAGTTCAAATCAATATTGTGATGATAAATAATAGTTAGAGAAATTATTGCCATAGAGCGTGCAAAAGTGTATGCTAATATAATAGCATTTTAAAATTGGCAAATGCATGCATTGACCAATGATTTAATGCTAACATCTTACTAAACAAACTATTTGCCCAACAAAGAACGTTGTTATTATTCATTCAACCTTGTGTTTTTTTTAAACACAAAAAGATATGTTAGACAGCATATTAGTCAAAGTCAAAGTGAAACTAAGGTGAGTACAGACAGTAACTGAAATTATAGCCTCCAGGTTAATTTTTTTCATGTAATCTAATCAAAGTAACACTATAAATTCAAATGTAGAAATGTACATTAATGAAAATACACACTTTAGTTTTTCCAATTTGCATTCTGTGCTTTTCAACAGAGGACAGATCGTCTGTATTCCTGAGTTCCCAAGTTTATTTCCACTCAGATCCAGCTCTGTCAGGTTTGGAGGATTTGAATTAAACGCTGAAGTCAGAGCAACACAACCTTTTTCTGTAATACTGTTATTATTCAGCCTGCAGAGAAAAAGAGAGCGTGAGAGTGAAAACAAAATACAAAAAGACTGGAAACATTCTTCAGATTGTTTCATTCACAACACACAACTAATGACTAAAGAAGGATAAATCTATATGATGGCTCAACTAATCTTAGTCCTCTAAAATAGAAGCAAAATGCCAGTATTAAGAAAATGAATTATCAAACAATATTATACTTTAAGGGTATTTTATAAAGTATTAAACCATGTGAAATACTCACATCAGTGTGTTGAGTTTACAGTGTTTATCCTGCAGTAGAGCAGCGATCTGATTCACTCGTGTGTCTTCTAGTTCACATTCACTCAGATTCAGCTCTCTCAGGAGTAACGGGTTTTTACCCACAATTCCAGTCACATACTGACAGGCTTCATCTGCAGCAGGACCCAAAAACCTGCAGAAGAGAAGATGAAATAGGATTGAATTAAACTAATCTTGAGGTAATGAAAAACAGCATCTGGTTCAGATGGTAAACAGTGTTAAACTGTTATGAAACACTTTATTACAGAAATAAAATTTATACATACATAATTTATTTAGCATTATTTCATCATGTCTCACCTCAGTGTTTTCAGTGAATAGTTTGGATCCTGTAGTAAATCACTGAGCAGCTTCACTCCTGATGGTCCAGGATCATTTCCTCTGAGATCCAGCTCTATCAGGTGTGAAGGGTTTGATCTCAGAGCTGAAGCCAGAGCTAGATAACCTTCTTCAGTGATACTGCAGTCTGAAAGACTAGAGGCAAAAAACAACAGCAAGAAAATAAAGTCTCTAATGTTGTTACTCATTTAGTAAAAACAAGTTTTAATTTTTCAGATTACAATATTTATAATTCTCAGCTCTTCAAAAATATGCATTTGTCAATATTTATGAAATGTTTCAAGACAGATGCATACTAAATTATTTACGTACAAAAGTGATATTGCTGACATACATTTTCTGTTCATGTTTAAATTCACCAAAACCTAACCTGAGTATCTGAATTGTGCACTGAGAGTTTGTCAGTAGAGTTGAGATTTCAGTCACTCCAGAGTTTTCTAGTTTATTTCCACTCAGATCCAGCTCTATCAGGTTTGAAGGGTTTGAATTAAATGCTGACGCCAGAGTGGCACAACCTTCTGCTGTAATACTGATGCAATTAAACCTGTATAAGAAAGTAAACAAATAAGATATACATATAATTATGCAACTAGTGGATTTGGCTATTGCTACTTTAGTCCACCAATATGAGAATTTCATGATAAAAGTATTTTTAGTAGTTGGCCTTTGTTTTACAAATTGACTAAATTACTTACTTCAGTTTTTTCAGCCTACACTGTTCATTCTTAAACAGAGTCGAGAAGAACTTCATTCCTGAGTTTCTGAGTTTAGTTCCACTCAGATTCAGTTCTGCCAGATTTGAAGGGTTTGAATTTAAAGCTTCAGTCAGAGCATGACAATCTTCTTCTGTGATATCGCTGTTATTCAGACTGTGTTAAGAGGAAACACAGTTACACCATTAACAATAACAACAGTTACAGTTTCAACTAAATATTTACCTATAGTTATAAGTCAACACTCTCTGGTAAACAATATATAAAACATCCAACAGCAAGTTCATAAGTATTAAAATTGTCATAATAACGATAAAGCTTACATCAGTGTGTTGAGTTTACAGTGTTTATCCTGCAGTACTGTACAAAGTTTGTTCAATCCTGAGAGTCCTAGTTCATGTTCACTCAGATTCAGTTCTTTCAGCAGTAACAGGTTTTCACCCAGAACTCTATTCACATCCTGACAGGCTTCATCTGCAGCAGAACCCAAAAACCTGCAGAAGAGAAGATGAAGCAATTAATTAAACTAAACTTGGTGTAATAAAAATAATATCTGATTCTGATGGGAAATGAGAAATTGTTTATCTTGAATTTACTTTAATGCAACAGATTGCATTAGTGAAATAATAATGTGTATTAATTCAACAGCAACTCATTGTATCATTTAATCATGGCTCACCTTAGTGTTTTCAGCGAATAGTTTGGATCCTGTAGTAAATCACTGAGCTGCTTCACTCCTGATTGTCCAGGATCATTTCCTGTGAGATCCAGCTCTATCAGGTGTGAAGGGTTTGATCTCAGAGCTGAAGCCAGAGCTTTATAACCTTCTTCAGTGATACTGCAGTCTGAGAGTCTACAGTAAAGAGATTTGACCTTTTTTAATATACAGCCATTATTATTTATTTTCTATTGTGAGATCGTTATTAAGACATCATTATTTGTGTGCCCTTGGATTACGGTTTTCGCTGAGGTGCCGAGCCGGTGACCCGGCCGCTCAGCGGTGGTACAGGAGCTGTGGCGACGGGACGTGACGTCTCCGTTCCCTCCTTCAGGGAACGAGGGTTACCATACGTAACCGAGACATTCCCTTTCAGTCGGTCACTCTCGACGTCACATCGGATGACCGACGAATTGGGATCCTACCAAAAGGCCACAGCTACTGTCCCTTCCAGTGTCCTGTGGAAGCCACCTGCGCCCCTACTTTTTGGCGTAGGCCAGGGCTTCACAAGAGGACCAGCTACTGCTACTATGGCACTACCCAATGAGTAAGACTGGATAACACTGGGAAACGT